CAGAATATTGATGCTTGATCCCTTCATCACTAAGAAACTCATTCAAGGTGTAGTTCTTGAACTCGGTGCCGTTGTCACTTCTTATTGTCAGGATCTTTTCATTATGTTGACGTTGAGCTTCATTTGCAAAGTCGATGACGGTTTGTTGAGTCTCACTCTTCCTCTTGAAGAAGTATACCCAAGTGTATCTTGAATAATCATCCACAATCACCAAGCAATACTTTCTACCCCCAAGACTATCAAAGGATGGAGGCCCGAAGAGGTCCATGTGCAGGAGCTCCAAGGGTCTCTTCGAGTAGATGATGGTCGTGGGAGGGTGAGCCGTCTCATGGAGCTTTCCTTCGATACAAGCACTGCAAACACGATCTTTGGCAAAACTAACATTCGTTAGTCCATGAACATGGTCCCCCTTGAGAAGACTTTGCAAAGATCTCATATTGACATGGGCTAAACGGCGATGCCAAAGCCATCCCACATCAACTTTAGCCATTAGGCATGTCGCGGTCTTAGTGGGTTGCTCCGAAAAGTTAATCACATAGAGACCGTTCTCGACATGCCCAACAAAGGCTACTTTAAGAGTCTTGCTCCACAAGAGGGCCACGGTATCAATATCAAAGAAGGTGGCAAAGCCCATGAGTGCAAGTTGACGAACGGAAAGTAAATTGAACGCAAGGGACTCAACAAGCATGACTTTCTCGATCGTTAGATCATGAGAAATGACAACCTTGCCAAGACCCATACCTTAGAATGTGAGGCATCACCCCATTCGACATTGGTGGGCATAGATGGGATCTTGTGCACGTCCACCATCAAGTCCTTGCTCCCGGTCATATGATTTGTTGCTCCACTATCGAGCAGCCATGATCCCCCACCGGAAGCAAACACCTTGTTGGTGGCCTTAGCCATGAGGCACTTGGCAGTGATGTTCTCGTTAGGTGCATCGAAGAGAGACACCCGGGGAGTTGTGACAATGGTAACGGATGCCATGGCCATTGTTTCACCATCTTCATCATCATCATCATCCTCGCGGTATTCTTCTTGAACCACCAACCCGCGAGTAGGAGTCTTCTTGGTGAAGTTGTTCTTGTTGGGGAAGGACTTGGCTTTGTCTTTTCGGATGAACTTGCCACCATTGTCTTCCCGCTTCTCGTAGGGACAATCCGCAACGAAATGGCTAACATTGCCACAGTTGAAACAAGTTCTAACTCGTTGCTTCCCCTTGAGGCCACTTGAGTTGTTCTTGTTGAAGTTGGGTCTTGTATTCTTCTTACTCCAAAATTGTCTTGAGGCAAGAGCCATGTGCTCATGATAATCATACTTCGTGTCCTCGGGGTTGCTCTCCTCATCTTCCTCTTCTTCTTCTTCTTCCACACTAACCTTGGCCTTCAAGGCAAGATTGGGCTTCTTTGCCCTTTGAGAACGGAGCACCGCATTGTCGGCGGTCTTGTCCAAGATGCTCATTGCAACAAACTCATCCAACACTTCACTTGAGGTCATGGAGTGGAAGTCCGGTCTTTGACGAATGATGGAGGACATGGCCTTGTTGTAGGGCATCATGGCCTTGAGGAACTTGCGCTTGATCCAGTTGTCATCCGTGTCCTTGCTCCCATGATCTCGGAGTGCGACCGCGAGTTTGGTCACTCTTCGAAAGATCTCACGAGGTTCTTCATCCTCTTTCATTGCAAACTCATCGGCTTCATCTTGCACCACTTCATAGTTGGAGCGTTGAATGCTAGCACTTCCTCGATAGAGAGACTCAACACATTTCCATGCTTCTTTAGCCATGACATGAGGTCGAAGATGAGGGAGATCTTCGGGAAGGATTGCATCTTGGATGATGAAGAGAGCACTCTCATTGAATTGATTGTCCACTTCTTCTCGAGGGGTGAAGTTGCTTGGATCATGAGGATAGAAACCTTCTTCAATAATTCTCCAAATGTTAGTGTTCACATGTTTTAAGTGACACTTGAAGCGATAAACCCAAGAGTCAAAATCTTCATTTTTCACATATTTAGGAGGAGGACATGCATGATTCAAATGAGTAGAGGGGATCGGTCCTCTATACACTGGGGGTTCCACATTGGCAAAGATGCCGGTGCCATTTCTACCACTAGTAGACGGACTCTTTTCACTGTTAGCTTCCCCCTTGTCGGAGGTAGCATCCGTCACCTTGTTAGTGGGATCACCCACTTTCATCGGTGAGGTAGATAGTTTAAGTCCGTCTAGGAATTCAGAAAACATGCTTTTAACCTCGGCCGTCATGGAGGTTTTCAATGTGTCTAAAGCCACATTGAATTCCTCACGTGAGACCGAGGCTCCCCCTTCGGCCGTGGACGAGATGGGATTCACACCGGAGTGCTCCTCCGCACCGTCGTGGGTGTCAATCATACTCTTCGGACGGCAAAGTCCTTAATAAAGAGACGAGGCTCTCATACCAATTAAAAGGATCGGTATGGTTGACTAGAGGGGGGTGAATAGGCAACTAACAATTTTTAGACTTTTCTTTAACAATTTAGACCTTGCAATGAAATAGGTTGTCTAGATGTGCAACTACGTGGACAACCTATATGATGCAAAGACAATAAGCACACAAGCAAGCAATAGATATAACTCAAGTAAGCTTGCAAAAATAAAGGGACAAGATAACCAAGAGTGGAGCCGGTGGAGACGAGGATGTGTTACCGAAGTTCCTTCCTTTTAAGGGGAAGTACGTCTCCGTTAGAGCGGTGTGGAGGCACAATGCTCCCCAAGAAGCCACTAGGGCCACCGTAATCTCCTCACGCCCTCACACAATGCGAGATGCCGTGATTCCACTATTGGATCCCTTGAAGGCGGCAACCGGACCTTTACAAACAAGGTTGGGGCTATCTCCACAACACTTGGAGGCTCCCAACAACACCACGAAGCTTCACCACAATGGAGTATGGCTTCGAGGTGACCTCAACCGTCTAGGGTGCTCAACACCCAAGAGTAACAAGATCCGCTAGGGATAAGTGGGGGGAATCAAATTTCTCTTGGTGGAAGTGTAGATCTGGGCCTTCTCAACTAATCCCGAGCAAATCAACAAGTTTGATTGGCTAGGGAGAGAGATCGGGCGAAAATGGAGCTTGGAGCAACAATGGAGCTTTGGGGGAAAGAGGTAGGTCAACTTTGGTGAAGAAGACCCCTTTATATAGTGGGGGGATAAATCCAACCGTTATCCCACTGAGCAGCCCCGCACAGAGCGGTACTACCGCTAGGGAAGGGCGGTACTACCGCTCCGGGCGGTACTACCGCTCCGGGCGGTACTACCGCTCAACCCAGCGGTACTGCCACGCTGACAGGGCCCTGACCCTAGGGCGGTACTACCGTGGGGGTAGGCGCGGTACTACCGCTTGGAGCGGTACTACCGCCACAACTACCGCCCTTAGTACCGCAAAACCCGACACGAAAAACATCGTTCTCGAATCGAGGCGGTAGTAGCCCGGAAGCACTGCGGTACTACGGCCGAGGACCCCAAGCGGTACTACCGTTCGGAGAGCGGTACTACCGCTTGGAGCGGTACTACCGCTGGGGAGCTTCGGCGGTACTACCGTTGTGGGTCGCGGTACTACCGCTGGGGTAGAGCAAAGCATAGTAAGGGGAAAACCGCAGCTCCAATGAAGCGGAAAGAAAACGACGGGTGTGATATGGATGTGTACGTGTTGATTCCACCCTAGTCTTACCAAAGCGGATCCCCTCTTGATAGTACGGTGACTCCTACGGGACTAGTCCACCAACAACGAAACGAAGGAGCTACACCGTCTTGAATAAAACACCGAGGGGAGAAAATCGTCTTGTGCCAAAGGATGAATCTCTGAAAGAACTTAACGCACGCTATTAGTCCGCACAAGCATTGTCATCAATCACCAAAACATCTTGGGGATAAATATGCCCTTACAACGGTGTTGCTCAAGTTCTCCCGGCAGTTAGCCCGCCCTAAGATGCTTGTACCGGCAGACACAAATGTCCCGGCAGTTCATTTGCCCTTGAACACCTATTTCTCCCGACAATTAATTGCCCCTAAACAAGTGTTGTAGTGTAGTGAAGTATTCTCCCCAAAAGTTTTTATCTCGTATAAAATAGCAACTAGATCAACTCCATGCGTATAGGCTTTTGTTCTTGTATGTATCAAGGGAGTAAAATAGGTCACAAAGATAATAATTGTAGTAATACCTTAGAGAAGGTTCCTCTTCAAAGAAAGATTAGAGTTTCTTTGCCTCCCACCGGCACCGCCGCCGATCCGCCTCGTCTTCAGTGGCCTTAGGGCCATGGGGCGCAGTGGATCTTGACCCTTGCCGGTAGAAGGGCTTCATTTTTAGACGTTCCTTCGAGTTTTGTTAGAGTTAGTGTCCTGCTCGAAAATGTGAGACGTCAACGGCTTCCTGAAGTTGGAATAAGGTTCTCCCCGCCTAGCCCCCATCCCGGTGATGCGTCTAGCATCGTCAATGAGCATGTGAAGGTGTGTCTTGGTAAATCCGTCTTTGATAGATTTGCTCGGATCTGGTTCGTTTATGTTAGTGTGTCTTCAGGTTTGATCATTTGATCTACGCTACTTTTCAATCTATGCTACTCTTCATTGGTGATTGTTGTTATGCTCGTTAATTTTATGAGGCCTGAGCATGTCGACTTTCCAACTGTCTGCTACAATAAATTTTTCCTGGGCCGGCGAGGGAGGAGCGACGGTGGCGGCACGCCCTCGGCTCGCTTCAGTGTTTGTAGTCCTCGCTATGTTGTCTAAGGATCTAAATGTAATTTTTATTATTTTTGTTGTTCATTATACTGCCATTATTGAATATGAATAAATCCGAATTTTTCCAAAAAAATGAGTACAACAGAGGCATGAAAAACAATGCAGCTAGGACACAGGAAAGTTCTTTTGCAAGGTTGTTTGGTTCCAGTTGTTATTAGTACATTCAGAATTTTTGCAAGGTTAAGTAGCACTTAGCATAAACATAAAATTTACAGCGACACGATGCCTTTCAGATGTAAGCATCGACCAAAGTAGGAGGGATCAACAAGTTTGCCACAGACTCCTTGTTCGTGTTCTCTTTCTTCTCCTTCGAGCCCAGGGCCTCCTCCCGGACCATCTCCAGCTTCTCCATTACTTTCCTCTTGTTCTCTTGTCTCGAGGTTCTGGCTTCAGCATGTTCAGCCAGCAGGAACATTGCAAAGAAGGCAGACGAAATGTATGCCAGGGTACTTCTACGAGATGTCCTACTCGCTACTTGGACAATGGTTGACTGCAGAAACAAGTGCTAAACCGATACGTAACAGGGGAAGTTCAAGCCTCGACAGAGGTTAGTAAAAATTAAATCACGCACGAAAAGTAACAACAACCTTGACATGATAACTCTGTCTACAAGAGGTAATGGCTTGAGTCCAAGTGTGATTAGATGACAGGATACACATCGTATCAATTCACGTAGAGATAAAGCAGGACTAGAATCAAAGTTTTCATGCTCCATACGAGTATAACTTCTAAAAAGTTTTTCTAAAAACAGGATGACCCCGGCCTCTGCATCAGGACAATGCAAACATCACACTGCAACAAGTATATGCATGAAAACTTAAAGACTAAAGAGTTCGTTCACTACCTTCAAATGAATACGCACCATATACTTAGTCAAAAAATCTACTCCCTCCGTACCAAAATATGTGTCTCAGTTTTGTACTAACTTTAGTATAAAGTTGTACTCCCTCCATCTCAAAATAAGTGACTCAACTTTATACTAATTTTTGTACTGCAGCTAGTACAAAGTTGAGTCACTTATTTTAGGATGGACGAAGTACTAAACTTAAACTTAAGACACTTATTTTGGAACGAAGAAAGTAGTAGATAAGATAACCAGTAGTACTTCAACTAATGGTCTCTTTGATTTAAAGGATCTCTATAGGATTTAGGAATTTTTCCTAAGTTTGTCGTTTGATTCGTAGGATTGAATCTTGTAAGATTTTCTCCTAAGGATTTATTTGTACTACATTTCACAGGAATTCTAACATCCACTCCAATCTCTTGGAAGAAATCCTTTGCTTTTTCAATGACACAATCAAACAAACTCAAATCCTATAGGGATCCAATGGCCATGCCATTTCAATCCTACTTTTTCTTTATTCCTGTGTTTTTGCAATCCTACGAATCAAAGAAGCCCAAATGTTGGGGAGCACCATGACATCAATTGACAATATAATCGCAATCTATAAATGTTGTAATTTTCATTTATAACTAATAAGGAGTGCCATGGAACATCCTAGAAGTTTCTCTACTGAACATCGTATGAATGAAGATCTAGGATGTTGGTCCGGGATCTGCTGGAGGACCAATATGGAAAGTACGTACAGAATTTACGGGAACAGGTAGGCTCCCGCGACCTAATCCCTCCCGCGACCCCCGCGTCGCCTCCCCCGGCAGCGGCGGGGGAACCCTAGCCGCGCCGCCGCGGTCCCCTCCTCACCTCGCCCCACCTCCTCGCCACCGCCTGAGGCAGCCGCCGGGCAAGCCCGGGGCGCCAAGGATGGTGGCGCCGGGGCCTCGGCTGCCCTGCCTGCGTGGGGAGTCTCGGATCTGGAGCGAAAGCTCCTTTGGCGAGGCACGGCGGGCTCCGGCGAGCAGCCGTGCGGGCGGTGGATCTGGCGTCCTGGCCGCGCAGGCGGCGGGATCCCGGTGGTCGTTGGCGGCTGGCGGCGGCTTCTGCGGCGGTCGATGCGCGCGATCTGGCGCCTCCCCTCCTCCCCTGTTCGGCATGCGGGCCAGCCTGGTCGGGCCGCGCCTCCCTTGGTCGCCGGTTCTATACAGGAGGCACTGCTGATGGCGGGGATCTAGTTCGGGCGAAATCCCTGGCCAGCCATGACCGGCCACGCCGATGGCGACGCCTGAGGGCGCCGTTCTCCTCCTTGGAGGCGTCGGTATGGACTGATCTCCTCACTTCCCCCTCCCCTAGGTCTCCCGAGCGAAAGCCCTAACTTTGTTGGGCGGCGGCGGCGCTCATGGGGTCGTTCCCTTCTTGAAGGCGCCGCTTTGGGAACCTTGGGGCTGGGTGGGGCTTGCGGGTGGTGGGCGACGGCGGCGGTGCGGTCCTATCCTAGCATGGATCTACGTCCGTTACTCGGAGATGGACTCGCGTTCGTGGAGGTCAACGTTTGGCATCGTGGTGGCGTCGATGGCGGAGGACCTGCCAAGGCTTGCGTAGGTGGAGGTCGTCATTTGGCGTCGTGGTGGCGTCGATGGCGGAGGACCTGCCAAGGTTGACACCTCAATCTGCTCTGAAGATGGACCAGTGAAACATGGCGGCGACGATACATGTGAGTGCGTCGGACCGGTTTGTGCCTCGGACCTGGCAGATGGCTCGGTGGGGCCTCCGGCTTTAGATGTTAGACTTAGGTGAGAGGCTGGGTATGTGGCTCAGCTTGCATCCCTTCATTATATGGATAGGAGTAGCGGCAGATTGTGAAGATGGTAGATTCGGTCATATTGTTGTTCTACTTTGTAAGGTCCTCGAGAATAATCAATAAAATGGCCGCATGCTTCTTCCAGGTGCAGAGGCCCGGGGTCATCCTTCTTTTTTAAAAAAGGTACAGGATTTACAAGCTACTCATTCAGCATTTCAAAACAAAAACACAGGAATCAGTACAGAAACTTCTAGGATGTTCCCTCCCTTTGCTCACTCGACGGCACGCTGCTCTGCTCATATCCCTGATCTGATATTTGCAGAGAGAAGTGTGCTTTTCTGGTTACGAAACTTGTATTTCTAAAATTACTGTAAGCGGCAGCCAATCAAGCGAGGCATACAAAAGCGACACATCGGATCTATCAACTGGCTACTGCTAACACATCAAATCATTCAGAACTTGCCCCGGCTTACTATAGATTCGATGTGTTCATGTGGTAGAATAATTCTGGAGAGCCGCAAAAATGATTCCTTAAATTCAGTGCGTACCTGGTTGTGTTTGCAGCTAAGCAGAGTAGCCCTTGACCTTGTGCGGGCGCGGCCATTTCTAGCAGGAGCAAGGCCGTGGATCTGAGAGGGCAGCTGCAGAGAAGTGATGGCCATTGTTGTTGCTCCTAGACGAGAACCGAGAAGCTGGCGCGTACTGGTGGTAGTGCCGTGGAAGGCAAGTGCTTCCTCAGTGGCTTTCTTGACTCTTCTCAACAGTTCCACTGCCCACTGGAGGACAAACGCACATTTGTCTTGACAAATAAGACCCTGCATTACACTGTATTTCAAACAAGATTAGTGAGGAAAAACCACACGTAAATAAAAGTGCAAGAGACGGCCACGTTGCCGTGCTGCTGGAGGCCTGTAAACCACTCTGGTCACTCACACCGCGCACAAGGCCGACGAGCCAGCCGAACGGTGCAGGCGAGGGTCGTGCTACAATTTGTGTGCCCACCACGGTATTCAGTTAAGCTTTCAACCTCTTCCGCGCAATAGACTCCATTTCGAAATACTGCTCCTGAATTTGTTCATCTGATCCCGAGGTGTCAAACGGTCCGCTGATCTACAAGACCCTATCTCCCATATTAATATCCTTCGTAAACCCACCCCGCCTAGCAAAGCAAAGGATCGTCATCACACCATGTTCGCTGCCATGGCCATCCTCCTCTCCTCCATCGCTAGCCGGCTGAGGCTCCGCCGCAGGAACAAGAGGATCACGTCCTCTTCGGGCAATCCCCGCCCACCTTTCTTCTCCTGCGGCGGCGGCGGCGGCGGCGACACCCTCGGCCCTTTTGTGAAGCCCAAGACGACGAGGAAGCTCAAGGGGCCGTCCAGCAAAAGATTCGCGGAGCATGGTCAGGACGGCGGCTCACTCTGTGCATTTTAAAACCGAACCGAAAAACCATACCGAAAATAAACCGAACCGAACCGATTTTTTTGTTTTTATGGTTTCTGATTTCGGTATAGTATGAACTTTTCATACCGATTTGAACTTTGGTTTTTATGGTATATACCGAAAAACCGAATGGTTAACCGAATAAACCGAAGTAAAAGATAAATTTATATTTCTTGAGATGAACAACCGTACAAGTTGTCATTTTTCTTGTACATGAGTCAAATTCACTACTAAGCACCAACATTTTTCTTGTAACATTGTCATTTTTCTCTTTTTAAAATGCTAAGCACGTCCATAACCATCAACAGATGAATCAATGCATGCATATATACTTATATATATAGTCATATACTATTTGTGTAAAATAGAATGTGTTTTGAGTCATAAATTTGCAAATTATTATTACGTCATTTTCAAATTCGCGTCAACTTTGATTTTTATGGTATATACCGAAACCATACCGAAATAATTTAGTATATACCGAAACCGAACCGTATTTTAATTTCATACCGTATTTACCGAAGTATTAATACCGTACATACTAAAAAACCGTATAAACTGAACCATGTAAACCGAATAAACCGAACGCACAGGGCTAACGGCGGCACGGTGGACGACGACGACGTCGGCGAGCCGTGCCTGTGGCGGCGAACGATACTGCTCGGCCAGAGGTGCCAGCCGCTGGAGTTCAGCGGGGCCATACACTACGACAACGATGGGCGGCGGCTCTGGCATGCACGGACTCCGCTCCTGAGCCCCGGCCGTTCTTCGGAATTCGGATACATTGGTAGGGCATGAGAAGCCTTGCAGCAACTCAAGGACGAACAACCGAAGATCTGCTCAGGACATCGACATTGATAGGGCATGATTCTCCGATTTTTCAATTTCCTCATCCTGCTCTCAGATATCGCTGAGGCCCCAGTTTGTTTCTTTTTCTTCTACTAAATCACTCTCAGTCTCCGCCGTTTCCCGTCCCTAGTACTATCCAGTATGATTGCATCAAGATCATGTTGTTCTGTTCTCTCTTGGTCCTGGGAAGTTGGCAGTATGTTGGAACAGAAAAAATGAGCATTTATTTTACTCCAATGCGATGTACTCTCACTCTTGCGTGTAACATTTGATACGATCCTTCTCGACAAACGATTTGGCAGACGATAAGCAGTTCAAACTGATTATCGTCCCCAGTGTGTGTTGGACGCATGCGTAGCAGTGACGATTCCCAGTACGCCAAACCTGGAGCTGAACTGAGCCATCTAGCTAACGGTACGTACTGAGAGAGGGCGACGGGGCGGGCGATTTAAATTCGCCATGGCTCCGGCCGGCAGCTCCGCCGGCGACGCCGCTGTGTCGGTCAGGGTGGAAACGCGTGGGGCCTTGCCGACGCCCGGGGCGCGACCAACCTGGGCCTCGCCAACATGCAGTTGTAGTCGGGTTACAACGCTTGTAGTTGCGAGTCTAGTGATGGACAATTGGCCGACATTTTAATTAAAAATGTGTAGTTGTGACCCCTTTTGAAACATGCAGTTGTGACCCGAACTTAAAAACTTAGAGTTGCGATCCCATTATAAAAACTTGCAATTGCGATCCATTTTTCAAAACTTGCAGTCACGATCCTCACTAAAAACTTGAAGTTGCAATCCCATATGAAAATATTTGTAGTTGCCACCCCCATTTAAATATGCAGTTGCGACCTTTCTTGAAAACGTGCAGTTGCGATCTTTCTTTAAAAACTTGCAGTTACGACCCCATTTGAAACTTGTAATTGCAGCCCTGTTTGATTTATTTATTTTTTGCAATTGTGAACCATCTTAAAACTGTGTAGTTACAATCCTTTTTGAAAACTCGCAGTTGCGATGCCATTATGAAAACTAGTAATTGCGATCCCTTGAAAAAACAAGTAGTTGCCGTCTCATTTTAAAAACTTGCAGTCGCGACCTTCGCTAAAAACTTGCGGTTGCGATCCTATTTTGAAAACTTGCAGTTGCGACCAACATTTGAATACATGCAGTTGTGATCCCATCTTAAAACTAGAGGTATATAGGATATATGATAAGTAGATATGCCCACCCATCTCCTCTCTTTTCATAAATTTGACTAAAAAATTCACGGAGAAAGCATTTCCGCCGAAGGATAGGCTTGGCCTTTCATTTCATTAGAATAAAAGGGGAAAACAAAAAAACACAACAACAAAAAGAAAAATGAGTAATAAAAACATAAAAACAAAAAGCTGAAAACAAAAAAAATATAGCAAATAAAAAGGGGAATAAATAAAATGCTGGAAAAAAATAAAGCAGCAAAGGCCAACATGGCCCGATACTCGTATAATAATAATAATAATAATAATAATAATAATAATAATAATAATAATAATAATAATAATAATAATAATAATAATAATAATAATAAAAGAAATAAGGCAGCATCACTACTGTGGAAAAAAACTAGGCAACATTGCTCCTTTTTTGAGGGGTGAGAAAAAAATTTATTCATCACCAAAGTCCACATGTTGTGGGGTACATCGAGAGTCATGGGGATGGCTAAGCCAGACGTGATGTCCCGGACCCTGAGAAAGAGAAAATTTAACTAAGCTATGTGCTTCATAGTTATTTTTTTGACCATGCTACGTGCTTTGTTGACATCACACTCCTCGAAAGAAAATTACAATTGAAAGAAATTGCTTTGAGATTGATCTGTCTAATGACTGCACCATACAAGCCTCGGGTCCCTTTAGGGCATCTCTAGCAGACCCGCATCCCGCCGACCCGCATTTCATGTTTGCAGTTCGTGGAAAAACTGTTTTGCAGGCTGGCGCAAACGGCCGCAGAGGCAGACCCCACAAAGCCGA